GTCTTTATGTCTTTAAGACATTCCTGCAGTTTAACTTATTGGTGTGTGTTATCTGGCTTCATGGACAGATAGAGCTGGGTGTCATCTGCATAGCAGTGTAAATGTTTCCTGTGGAACTCCATGATCTGTTTATGAAGGTGTTTTTTCATCTGGCTCAAATATGGACAAACACACATCAGAGACTCTGTAATAATGTGTGTCTATGTGATCATAGAAGAAGAAGAGGAGGAAGATTGATCGCAGCATGATCGGAGAACCGACTAACTTCATCCACCTCACACACATCGGCTCTGGAGAGATGGCAGAGGGCCTGCAGCCGGTCAGTAACAATCCTGTCTACCTGTTTACTCACCGTGTGTGTGTGTGTGTGTACACGTCACAAATCGGTGCATTAAAATGGATAAGTAAAACATTAACAGGGACGTTTGAGAACAAAGTAAAACACTGAGCAGAACGATGACGTGTGTGAAACTCTGAACAGAAACCAGTTACAGGTGTGATGGAAGCTGTCACACTTCAGTCTGAACCGTAGCGTGTTCGAGTTTTACCGCGGGTCGCCCGTCGACCCCAGACTGGGATTGTGCCTCTACTGGAACCAGCAGCCTCTGTTGGTGTAAACCCCTACAGAGCAACAGCATTTTAATATTCACTCTGTTATAGATGAGAACACCCAAATACAGTTCAGTGTTACACTTACATTTACAGGATTTATTGGCTATAAAGAAGGTGTGACTCATTTTAATTCATCATGTTGTCTTCTGTGTTTGATACATGTGTGCTGTTGTTGTGTTTTACAGTCGGGGTCGGTCCAGGAGCAGATGAGGTCTAAAGGCCCGAACATGAACGGCAGGAACAGCCTGTTATAGCCGGTAAACCAGCTCAGCTTCTCTCTCCATTTGAGCTCATTTAGCATCACAAGATGTTCCAGCAGCAGCTGTTAAAAACCACATTTTAGAAAAGATGAGTAAAGTAAGGACTGATTATTTATTATTATTATTTAGTCCAGGACTGTAGGGTTTCCTGTACCGTGGTAAGCAGATCTCCTCCACCTATAACGAAACAGAAAGTGACCCTGAGTAGGTTAAAACAGAAAGACAGCGGGCAGCCTTAGTGTGGTTGAGCCCGGGCTTCCTGTTAGCGATGAAGCAGCGATGACCCCTGCCCTCCCGTTAAACCTGAGTGTGCATCAGTTTGATCTCCAGGGTCACTGCAGACACAACCTGATGAAGCAGAACTACAGTTGTTTGTCCTTAGAAAAACAAAATCCAGCTGTGGTGCTGAGCCGGTCCGACGGTGTCCCGACCGTCCACCCCCCCGACACCCCTCCTGCACACTCTGACCCTGTCACCACCTCCCCGCACTTTGTCCTTTGTCATCATTCATTTGACCAGTAGAGGGCATCGCCCTTAAACTGTAACTATTACATAATTTCTTATGCTGCAGCACACCTCCAGCATCGGTCAGTTCACTGTTCCTCCACGTGTTTGTGGAAGTGTACAGATGTTTATCCTGATCCCCAGAGGATGGACCCTTTGTATTGAAGGATGTTCTGCCTGTAGGGGGCGCTGACTGCCCTATTTTACACTGGTCAGCGCCGTTTGACGTTTCCTGTGTCTTTCATCTTCTAGGAGTGATGATATCGACCCAGACCAGCTGACCGACCTCTTTCTTCTCCACACTGAGCCTCGCCTCTAGCACGTGACTGCCAGCCAGGTGCTTTGACTCCCTCCTCCACCCTACTGAAGTGCCCTTGTGCAAAGCGCTGAACCCCGAACACCTACAGGAGGCACTAGCCTGATATAACTGTGGGGTTTTTACTCACAAAGACTGATAATCAGTTCCCAGAATAAAACTAATATTTTTGGTCACTACAGGTTTCCCTGTCAGTATTAACCTCATTAGACTCCATTTCCCAGCATCCATTTCAATGTTTTCAAACAAATGACAGGATGTCTGTATTTATGAAAGAAAACGTTTTCTGGCTCCAAACTGTTCGATTTAAGATTTCACGTTTTTTTGTGGAGTGTTTTTTCTGGACTCCATTTCGAGGATGGCCCGTTGTTTAGTATTCAGCTCCTGAAGGATCACTACACCTTCTGGGGCTTCGTCAGCAGATCCTGAACCGTGCGTATGTTCAGGGATCACGTGTCCAAAGCGATTACATCACCTGATGTCGTCTCCCAGGACGCTGCTGGTGCTTTTAAAGGACTCTTGTTTTAGGAGACGGGAAAGTCCCATGAATGCCTGCTACACTGGACTGCTGTGTGTGCTGGTGCTCTTACATGTCTGTGTTTGTGGGGACCTGTGTGATTGTTAGATCATGTGAGGACCTGCAGATTGTGTCATGGAGGGTCCTCACAACGATAGAAATGCAGACATGCAGGACTGGACCCACAGTCCTAAACCTCCACTAGAAAAACACCAAAAATTATCATTATTATTCAAAAAGTTCTCTGTTTTTATTTTTAACACTTTTTAAATTCTTCATCCAATTACTGTGTTACTCAAACTGTGGTTCAGGGACCCCAGACGGGGCTTCAGATGACATATTTTAGCTCCCTGTTTTTAGCACTGCTTGAAAGGTCTGTTGTAAGCTGTCACAGTTATTACTGCTTTAAACGTGTGTACTCTTCTGCTGCTCCTGATTGGCTGTCTCACATCTGCTCAGTTGTTATCCAGATGTTCAGGTTGATCTCAGCTCACAAACCAAATTTGTTTAACGTGGTCTTGAAAAAGATCATTTTGTAGTTTTTGAAACATCTGCTGATGAAAACGTTGATGTTTCGTGTTTCGTTCCAGCTCTTCTGTCAGAGCTGAAGATTCGTCCGTATTTATTTTTGTAAATCACACCAACGTGCAGGTTGGTCCAGCTGTGTCCCAGCTCTGTGTGCACCAGCCAATCCTGTTTCACGTCCAGTTATTAAATGTGTTTGCCAGTGAGAGCCAGCGCTGATTGTTTCTGCTCGCACACAAACGCATCACGATGACAGTGAGCCACGTCTTATTGCTCGATTTATTCGAGTCGCGCCGTTCATGAACGCCATCCTGTGCCCGGATGCTCTAACAGCAGCGCTGACTCGTCAGGGGAAACTGACTGGTTACCGCGGAAACCACAGAGCGACAATGGCGACGACAGGAGCGTAAGTGCCCGAGCTTCTGGTGCATTCATGAACTGTGCAGAGCGTGGGAGGAGTTATTGCTGATCCTTGTAAAAGTATTTGACTCGGCTCGTTCCAGCTTCCCGCTGAAAACGTTTGTGTTCACAAACATGCGGTGTCAACGCTGCCGTTCAACCAGCGCCAGGAACGCCTCTGACCCGTGTCAACACTCGACTTGAAACCTGAACGTGTTGTACTTTGGTTCAAAGACAGGGACTGTTTCAAACAAAGGAAGGATGGGTCTCTGATTCCAACACGTTCACCCGGGACAAACTGTTTTCCTGTGGAGCGTCGTTGTTTTGGATCATTGTAGCTCCAGAAACTGTTGCTCTCATTTAGACTCATGCTGGGAGCCTGAACGTCTCCTCCACCAAGGCCTGAAGAAGATCAGGATGTTTTCTTAAGATCAAGATGTTCAGCCTGAGATGTTTCATTGTGAATTTTTTTCCAGACTAGTTGAAACTCACATCTTCTTCCTTTTTTGTGTCATATCAGACGTATTTGATCCTCCTGAGAGAAAATGTTCAGGCCGCTCTGAACGCTCAGCTTCCATCGTTCTACTTTTATAACTCTGCAGGTTTCCAGACACTGACCAATGAGAAGACAGCGGGATTTAGGGAGGGCTGTCTTAAAGAGACGGGAGCATACGAGGGATTGTTGGGATCTGGGAGTTGTGCACAGATAATGATTTGATTACAAAAATCTGACCGCGTCAGAAACCGTCCTGACTGCGGTTTACAAAGCGTCTCCAGGCTGGAGTCGACGTCGTGGCTCATTCTCGCTCTTGGATTCTGGGAAATGAAGCCTCTTCCTGTCGACAGTCCCTTCCCTTCAGGTGGAAACCACCGAGTGTCACGCTGTGCTTTTATTTTGTGATAGACGCTGATTCTATTGGTGCATAGAGAGTACTGATCACAGCTTCTCTGGAAGAGCCTCGGTGGGAACGCTGTCCAAAACCAGTCTTCATCAGAACAACTTTTACTTTTGCAGCTGTTTGTGGTCGGGCACTGATAAACTGATGTCAGCCAATCAGCAGCCTCCTGCAGCTGCGCTGGGATTAAAGTGAATGCAAATGATTGGGCAGAAGAGTTTTAATGGATTTCTTCTGAGCTGTGTTCACGTTTGATTGGCTGAGGGAACTGTCAGTCAGCGAGCTGTGGGGGTTTTAAAGCTGCGAGCGTGAAACATGACACTTCCTGCTGGTCCAATGACGGTCTGCCCACCCGGCGAGATCTGAGGAACGAGCTGAAGCTGAAGCTGAAGCTGCTTCCTGCTTCCGTTACGTGCAGATGCCTGATGTGAAACTCTTCTGTGCACTGAGTAATAAACTGGATCATTAGACTCGTGAGCCTGGCTCGGTTTACGAGGATATTTGTTCAAAGATCTGGACGGTTTTAACTTTGCATGCAGGAAAAGTCACGTTAATGAAATCTCCAGCAGCTCCTCGTGTTTACGAAACCTGACTTTGTCACATCATCTCCACCGCTGTAAAAACCGAGATCACAGGTTATTAAGGAAACATTAAAGTGATATGAATGAGAGGTTTGTGTGGCGTCGTCTGTTGTGTAAGCTGCTCCTCCTGCAGAGGCACAAAAACACCTTTATTCTTCTTGTGTAACGTGTGTCTCATGATGGCTGAATAAACCTGTTTGTGGCTTCGTGTGACGAAAGTTTATTCTAAGAGTAGTACAAAACAACGATTTGGAGATGACACTTTGATCCTAAAGTACTGAAACGTGGGAACACCTCTGAGGGTCGACGGTTTCATTTTGTTCCCAGTAAATCACAGCAAACATGTTCAGCTGTCGTCATGGAGACGAGGTTTCATCTCGTAGGCCTGGATGTCTTACAGATGTTTAAATTCAGGTCAGGGGTCGGTCAGTCCACATCGCCACTGCAGACAGGACGGGGCTCCACCCCCACCTCCACCCACCTGTCACTCACGCCTCACCACTGTCTCTCTGCCATTCCTGACTTCCTCTCTGGCAGCCAATCGTCTGCTTTCTCTGATCCACAAAGACACCGACGCTGCTTTTGTCCTCCGTCAGCCCTCTCAGAGCAGCCGTCACATGTGTGGTTGTCTTTCTGCGCAGCACCATCCTGCAGAGTAGCCACATTCTAGCTAACAGCACCTTAGTCCACACATACGGACTCCGGTGGCTGTAGTCCACCTGTGCATGTCTCACTCGTGTGCATGACCCTGTGTTTCTCCCTCTCACCTGTCTGCAGTCCTCTCCTCAGCACCACGCCCACCCAGCACCCTCTCCCCCTGGGACACTCCTCTCTCCTCTAACTGACCTCTGAGCTGTGGGGCAAACACTTTGACAACATCACCGATTTAATGTCCACTTTAAATGCATGACGCTCTCTTCACAACACTGTTCACATCAGGATGCTCAGCTTGAACTCCACTGCTGCTGGCCCTGCTTCCTTTCTAACTGCTCTCCATCCTCGCAGCTCCTGGTCGCAGC